GTTGATCAAATGGGAAGGCTCATCATTCTTATCGAACATAATTTCTCAGAAAACTGGTCATTGATAACAAAACGTTTACAACGGTCCATTAACTTATACAGAACGTCATTTACGGATCATAGACAAAACAATGGTTACTCAATGATCAATACATATTTTCTTATTAGTTGTTCAAAGGGAACTCATTCACTTCTTAGCAAATTTCCTTTTTAGGAAACAAATTACATTGTACACAATTCGGTATGTCAAAGCATAACTTTTAGTTTTAAAGGACTTATTTATAAACTTCATCACATTTCATAATTCTTCGTCTAGCAAAACTAATTTCAAAGTAATTCATACAAAAATACCGTTACAAAGAGATTACTCACCTCGAGTAGGTTGGTGTCCTTACACAATGTTCAAACCTACATATCATATATTCCAAACACATTGGAACACATTGTTCTAATCACATGCTTTATCTTCTCATTCTAATTCTAATTCAATTATACATGTTGTTTCCTTACATATCAGTACCTTAATGAGTCATAATTCATGCTTAGAAATACTCAGAAAAAGACAAGCAAAGATGTAAACACATAACAGCATGTCAAAATATGTTAAAAAGGCTTGGCCGCTCGAGCGGACAGTGTGCATAATGCGAACTCAATTATTTCAATTCTTCAATTTTATGCTCATATGAATTCTTAACATTAATTTACACCCAAAAACTCTCAATTAAACATGATTTGCTATAAATTTATACTATGCATGTCATATTTATGAACCACTTTATTCAAATCCAACCATACAGACTCATGTAGGTGTCCTACTTCAATTTACATCACATAACATTCTTAATCATGCATGATTCTTTCTCAATTAAGCTTACTTTCAAGAAGATATGAATGTAGATGTCTTAAATTCAAGAATTTAAGAAATACCTTAACTTTTTGAATTATGAAGCTTTAAGCTTATTCTTCAATGTCTTCCTTAAGCTCTCTAAAAAAACAACCTCTCTTCCTCAAGTTATATCTCTCTCTCTCTTTACAAAGCCCACTAACTCTCTCATATTTTGAGCTCAAGAATACGAGCTATTATATATATAGGCTCAATCAATTTATTTAATTAGTCAAACCTTAAGTTAAATAATTACAACTTAAGTTGATTGAATTTCATCTACTTAATTTGATCTGAATCAAAATTTTTTTTTAATTAAATTTCACAATAAACTCTAAAAATTACACTAATCACATTAAAGTAATTAATTTCGGTTTCTATCGCCTTTACGACCCTCAATTTACAACAATCCATTTCAAATTAATTCATTCCTTCCTAATTTCTGGGTTTTTCCAAAACTAGGTTCAAGCTTCAAAAATGGAGTTTGCCTTGCATTAATCCATGAAAACACTTCCATAAATTTGTCAATACTTTTGGAAATTCAAATACATAATTATTCTCAAGTCTCTTGCATAAATCTCATGATTCTTTCATAAACGGGTCTCAAATGTTCATGCATGCAAAGATTAGTTTCAAACTCACAACAATGGCTTTCAAAACATGAGATTAGAGTTTAAAACTCTTTAAATCAAGGATACATGTAAGAATAAACTCTAAAATTCAACATAGATTACATATGTATGCTCACAAATGGCGATTCAACACACACACACACACACACACATATACATATATGCATATATATATACAAAACTTCCATATTCATTATCTTCAAGCTAGTTCATGCAATTACTCCCAAAATCCCTTTAATTCCATGGATTAGATGATAAAAAATGCAAAGATAAATACATACCAAGAGTTTAATTTTGGATTAGGAAATGAATCTCCATGGCTCTCTTCTTCTTCCATCCAAGCTTCTCTCTCTCCCTCTCTTTCTCTCGCTACACTAAATTATACATACAAATATGGTTACTCAGTACACCCACCAGATTGCGTAGCACACACATCCACACAGATTTCTTTGCACACACCCAGATTCTCTGCACACCCACCAGAAAATAATCTCCTACACTTAACATCATTAAATGTCCTAATACATACCACACTTAATTAAATCTTGAATTATAAATAGGATACTTCTACTTTTATTTTATTTTATTCACTAATTAATTTGTCTAAGGCTTTAATTAATTCCTAATTTTTCTTTAAGTTAAATTAAATTATATTCACTCAAATTAAATTACTCCTCATCAAATTATGATCTCAATTACACTAAATTTAATTATATAAATGTGAATTAGGCTCTAATTGCCTATCCAATAATTTAATTCTAGCATGTTAAAATTTACAAATCAGACAGGTTTATTTCTCATTTTAACATATCTGTTCTCAATAACACAATTCAATAAATCACATAACAATCAATAACACTTAACAATACATAATCGCATAATTAAAATTAAGCATGTAATCAATATATAATTAATTTACTTAATTAAGGTGGTGGTTGTCACAAGAATGGCGTCTTCGACTAGATGTTTGATATGATCTCGGCATTGTGTCTCTTTCTTTAGAGGCAATCTCTTAAGTCCTTTTTCGTTCGTCCTGGAGTTCGGCTATCAATCGACTTCAGTCTTTTCGGCGCATTACTTCCAATGTAAGGGTGCATTCTCTTGGACTTCTCTTCATCCACTACATCATCAAAACAAGGGCCTTGCCCTTGGATATGTCGAGATCCCCTTACATAGGTCCCTTTGGTCTGTGATGTCCTTTGTGACTCTCGCAAAGACTCTATCTGTCTGGCATCTCAGGGTTGCCGATGTTAATTTTATTGTCCCTTTGCATGCTACTGGATAATGGGTACTGTCTTCTGTCCTTCCTTCTAGACACCGGCCTTAGCTGCTGGGCCAATGCATCTTGTAAAGGAAATGCCGGCTGCATCATGTTGTTCTGCATCATGAAGTTGACTATTTTCTACAGGTCTGTCAACTTGTTCGCCATGTCCTTCAATTATTCATCCCTTCTCAAGCACCTATCCTGCCATACTTAGAGATCGCCTTTGTGGTAGTATTTATCTCAACTACCCCTCTTGTTCATGCCTCAGCCCTTGGTGGCATTATTGGCCCCAGGGTCAACCCCTTGTACTTCTTCGTTATTGTTTCCCCCTTCAATATTAAGACCTATATGTTCCTCCTCCTCATTGTAAAGATCATCCCTAATCCTCTCTCATTGCCCGTTGTTGGCCATATATTCTATACGAAGTTCCCACAGACGACGCCAAATTATGGGTGTTGATTTCCGACCACACAACCACACAGGGAACTTAGCTGGAGGGCGCACGACAAAATCGACTAAGCCAAGCACCTGCCAACAAGAAAATGAAAATATCGCGGTGGTTCGTCCACCCAGGGGCAATCCAATGATCAAGTCAATCAAACAATCACTCAAAGATCTCACACAAGTACTGAATGCACAAGTAAAAGCGTACTTTAAACCCACAAGGGTCATTCACTTTTATAGCTAGCAGTGACCTAGTTCTCTAGAAGTCTCACTTCATAGGACTCAAGCTCAGTGCTTATCTCGGACTCTCGGCTGGGTAGGGATAAACTTCTCAAGAGCTATATCCTTATCCAGACTGAGAGCCTCCTCTTCTCTAGGACTCTTGTCCTCTATCCAAATATCTCATAATCCCAGTATTATCACACTGAACCTCGTGATACCACGATCATCTTGGCAACTAGGACTCACCCATGTGGCACTTTAGCCGACATTTTCAGAACCACCTCGACCACATGGTGTCATTAGCAAAATACTTCCCCAAACATACCTAGGCCAAGTGTTACCCCTCCCAATTGAGATTAGGAAGACCTCACTTGTCCGAAGCCTATGTTTTGATCCAGGATCCTTGCCTTGTCAAAGTGCCCATGCCACCTTACTTGTTATAATACATTTTGACCTACTCTTGTCTTTTCACTCTGACACCTTTTTGAGGAGATTGATCAGATGATGCCACATGTCCCAATAGTGGGTTTAAGTCAGATTACTAGTTGTGAAACCATATCTTTGCCATATCTTTGTCTTGAAGAGAGAGAAGCTCTAGGAAGAAGAAGAAGAAGAAGTTCTTAGAGTGAGAGCGCTAGATTTACCAAGCTTAATTATTAGAGTTTGAACCATTGGATTGGTGTTTTGAGGTTAGATTCTTGATCTAATTTTCTTGTTCTTTATATTATTTTGATCACATTGCATGATCTAGCATGATTCATGAGCCATGCACTGATTTAAAGTTTTGTTTTAGAGAGAGAAAGTGATGTTCTTGTATACTCTGTCTGTGTGAATCTTTATAAGGTGGCCTTCAGTAATCTCGGATTACTGGCCATCACGGCATCATTCTATTAGGGGCAGAATGGGGTCGTGATAGATTGGTATCAGAGCAAAAGTTCCTTATAATACGTTTATTCACACACTCTTGGTCCCAAAAAGCATAGGATTTCCCTTAGAATGATGTTAAGATTGCTTCATATTGTTTACTATTTGACAAGGTGTACATTATTCCGGCATGTTTATTTGTTAGTTGCCTACTTGCCTATTTGTTCATCTTGTTTCAAAGTCACATTTCACATACTCTTAGCATCATGAGAAGGGGAAGACCTCCAATTTGACGAGATCATTCCGAGGATAGGTTGGACAAATTAGAAAGGATGGTAGAAGGTTTTACCCGTGAGCTGAGGCAAGCAAGGCAACAGAACACTAGTACCACCTCTACTTAGGCCGAGCAGACAAAAGGCCAAAATGCAGTTCCACTCCCACCTCCACCTCCATCTCCTCCAGTACTGTAAGTGCCTCCACAACTAGCTTTGTATGGAGACAGCACGTTAACTTTGATCAAAGAATTTTAAAAAATGAATCAGCCGAGGTTTCAAGGGGGTATAGAGCCATTGAAGGCAGAAGCATAGGTTCTTGAAATAGAGAAGTTATTTGAAATCTTTCCTAGCACCGACACCCAGAATGTGTCATTGGCAGCATTCACACTGGATGTTGATACTCGTAGGTAGTGGATAATGATTCGAGATGGTAATTCGAGTTTGACTTACGCTAGATTTTTGGAATTATTTTATGACAAGAACTTTTCCTTTAGTGTCCGAGATCACAAGACCACAGAATTTCAGACTCTGACACAGGGTAACAGAATAGTAGCTGAATATGATTGTATTTTCACTGAGTTGTCTAGGTATGCACCTCACACTGTCAATACCGAATACAGAAAAGCTAGAAAGTTTGAGAGTGGGCTTCGTGAACCAATACAAGACCGGGTTCATATGCTTAATATGCCAACTTACATCGAGGCATTGGACAAAGCCATCCTGGCAAAAGCTAACTTAAACAAATATCAGAGTTCAGGAAAGAATCATAGAAAGATACAGAATTATGATAATCGTCGAGCACCGTTTAATGCCAAGAAAAAGGTGAATGTGGGTAGTTCAAGCAACTCAAATCAAGAAAATGGTACTAGGCCGACATGCACAAGTTGCGAGAAACAACATTGGGGAGTTTGTCATCGAGCATCTAGAGTATGCTTTGAATGCGGTGAGATGGGTCATCGTGTTAAGGACTATCCCAAGACAAAGATTAAGGATGGTAAGAAAAGTGAGAACACCTCGGGTTCTACACAAAAAGAAAATGTCTAGAAAGGACAGATAAGGAAGTGAAGAGTCTTTGCGTTAGTGCCAGGGGACATTCTAAACACCGACACAATAGTGTCAGATATACTTCGTATTTGTGCTCAAGATGCATATATATTGATTAATTCGAGGTCTACACATTCATTCGTATCTACTAAATTTGGTAAGAAATTAAATAGAGAACTAGAACCCCTTGGTTATTTATTATCTGTGTCTACTCCATCTGGAAGAACTATGATTGTTGCATCCATTTATAGAGCATGTGTTGTTATGATTAAGAATGTCGAATTATTAGTTGATTTGATGTCGTTGAACTTGACTCATTTCGATGTTATATTGGGAATGGATTGGTTAGTAGCAAATCATGCATCTATTAATTGTGTTTCCAAAAGTTTCACTTTTAAACCCCCACACCAAGCCTAGGTTATATTTCAAGGTAAAAGAGTAGTATCCCTACCTTACTTGATTTCATCCATGAAAGCTTATAAGTTGATCCAAAAAGGATGTCAAGATTATTTGTGTAGTGTACTAAGTAATTTGAATGGAAATATTAAATTGCATGATATCCCAGTTGTTAACGAATTTCTCGATGTTTTTCCAAAATGATCTGTCCGACCATTTGGTGGATAGAGAGATAGAATTTACTGTTGATGTTATACCGGGAACACAACCTATTTCCAAAACACCCTATAAGATGGCCCTAGCTGAGCATAAGGAGTTAAAAGTTTAGTTACAAGAGTTGTTGGATAAAGGCTTCATTATGCCGAGCACTTCACCTTGGGGAACGCCAGTACTATTTGTTAAGAAAAAGGATGGAACACTTTGCCTTTGTATTGATTACCAAGAACTGAATATGGTAGCCATTAAAAATAAATACCCATTGCCGAGGATTGATGGTTTGTTTGATTAGTTACAGGGAACACGAGTCTTTTCTAAAATTGATCTCAGGTCGGGCTACCATCAACTCAAGGTTAAAGCCAAGGATGTAGAGAAGATTGCTTTTCGAACAAGGTATGGCCACTACGAATTTTTGGTAGTGCCTTTTGGAATAACCAATGCTCCTACTGCATTTATGGATTTGATAAATAGGGTCTTTAAGCCATACTTAGATGAGTTTGTAGTTGTTTTTATTGATGATATATTTATTTATTCCAAGAGTAGAGATGAGCATGAGAATCATTTGAGACTTGCCTTACAAATTTTGAGAGATAGAAAATTGTATACGAAGCTTAGCTAGTGTGAATTTTGGCTTTCAAGCATTTTATTTTTAGGTCATGAGATTAATGAAGAGGGTATTTCTGTTAATCCTAGCATTGTGAGTTGGACGAGACCAACTAATGTATCTGAGGTTCGTAGTTTTTTGGATTTGGCAGGTTACTACAAGAAGTTTGTGAAAGACTTCTCAAAGATTGCAATGCCATTGACACAGTTGACTCAGAAGGGAGTGGCATATGAATGGACCGAGGATAGAGAATCATCTTTTCAAGAGCTAAAGACGAGGTTAGTCTCAACACCAATTCTTGTACTACCATCAAGTAGTGAGGAATTTCAAATTTATAGTGATGTTGCATATAAGGGTTTGGGTTGTTTGTTGATGCAAGGGGGTAAGGTCATAGCATATGCACCTCGTCAGTTGAAACCTCATGAAAAGAATTATCCTACCCAAGATTTAGAATTAGTAGCCATGGTATTTTCTTTGAAAATTTAGCGTCATTACTTGTATGGAGCTTCTTGTCAAGTTTTCACACATCACAAGAGTCTAAAGTATTTGTTCACACGAAAAAAATTGAATATGAGACAAAGAAGATGGCTCGAATAATTGAAAGACTATGACATGTAGATTCAATATCACCCAGGTAAAGCTAACTTAGTGGCTCATGCGTTGAGTAGAAAATCCATTGGGAGTCTAGTGTGTTTACTCACTAAGCAGAAGAGCATACTTCAGAATTTGTGAGACCTAGATATTGAAGTTGTACTTCACCGAGACGAGGGAATTTTAACGATGATTTTAGTAGAGCCAACTATTATTGAGAAAGTAAAGACAAGGCAGATGGAGGATGAATTTTTCAAGAAGGTAGTTAATGAGATTATCATGAAGCCAAGATCGAGGTACACCATTGATAATCAAGTACTAAAGTTTGAGGAAAGATTGCGCTTGGCTGACATCCCAGAGTTGAAAATGCGAATTTTGAAAGAAGCTTATAGTTCCAGATTTGCTGCTCATCCAAGAAATACCAAGATGTACCAAGATGTGAAGCAAACTTTTTGGTGGCCGAATATGAAAAGAGAAATAGCCGAGTTTGTATCACAATGTTTGTATTGTCAACAGGTGAAAGCAAAACATTAGAGGCCAGCCATACTTCTTCAACCTTTGTCAATTCCCGAGTAGAAATGGGAACATATCTCCATGGATTTTGTTTTGGGTTTGCCGAGGGCATAAAAGGGTATGGATTCAATTTGGGTTATAGTGGATAGATTAACTAAGTCCGCACACTTTTTTTCCTGTTAAGACTACATTTAATACCAACAGACTTGCTTCATTATATATGAATGGGATTGTTAGACTTCATGGGGTGTCGATGTCAATTATTTCAGACCGAGATCCGAAATTTGTTTCTAGATTTTGGTAGAGTTTACAAAGAGCTTTGGGAATCGAGTTGAGATTTAGCAAGACTTTTCATCCTTAAACCGTTGGGCAAACAGAGAGAATGATTCAGACACTTGAAGATATGCTTAGGGTATGTGTATTGGACTTCAATGGCAGTTAGGAATTCCATTTGTCATTAGTAGAATTTGCTTACAACAATAATTTCCAAGCTACCATTGGCATAGCACCATATGAAGCTTTGTATGGGGGAAAGCGTAGATCACCAATTTGTTGGACCGAAGTAGGAGATAAAGCATCCCAAGATAGTTCAAGTGACAATCGAGAAGATTAAGCTCATTCAACAAAAGATCAAAACCACTCAGAGTCGACAAAAGAGTTATGCCGACCAAAGAAGAAAAGAATTAGAGTTTGAGATTGGAGACCATGTATTTTTTAGAGTCTCACCAATGAAAGGAGTTTCTAGGTTTGGGAAGAATGGTAAGTTAGCACCTCGTTACATCGGGCCATTTGAAATTTTTAAGAGAGTTAATCCTGTTGCCTACCAACTTGCTTTGCCACCGGAATTAAGTCAAGTCCACAATGTGTTTCATGTTTCGATGTTGAGGAATAAGTCGATACCAATGGTGAAAATTCAATAAAAAGAGCATTGTGACAAAGATGTTACATAGGAAAGGGAAGAGGAGATGAAAATTCGATATCCGAAGCTGTTTTCGGGACAAGATAACTTAAGTTTGGGGGCCAAACTTCTTTAAGGGGGATAGACTATAACAACCCTCATTTTGCCTTACTCATATTCATGAGAATTTACATGATTTTGGTTTTTTAACCTTATATCTTGTGAACTTTAATATTTTGTCTAAGTATGGGAGCATGTCTTGTTTTGTGCTGTTGTGTTTTGTCTAAGTATAAGATCCATGCTTTGTTCCTTTCTTTATGTGTTGAACCTAGGCCATCTATCTTTGCTACCTCACACCTAGGTCACACCTTGAACTTCTTACACCTAGGCCATTAAGCGTTAACAGCTAGGATCATCTTGGAACCATCTTGGTTGACCTCTACCTTGACCCTTGCAACTTGGCCAAGGTGTGCATCATCTAGACCGAGGTGTGCATCATCTAGGCCGAGATGTGCATCACCTAGGCCGACGAGATCTTTGATCCTTGAACCTTGCAGCCTTGTTGTGCACCTTAGCCAACCTAGAAATCTTGTTCCTTGACTTTTATAACACAGGCCGAGGTGTGTCACACCTAGGCCAAGTGTTACCCCTTCTAGCCGAGATCCGGAAGACCTCACTTATCCTTCACTTGTCCAAAGCCTATGTTTTGATTTAGGATCCTTGCCTTGTCAGAGTGCACATACCACCTTACTTGTTATATACACTTTAACCTACTCGTGTCTTTTCACTCTGGCACCTTTTTGAGGAGATTAATTAGATGATGCCACAAGTCCTAGTAATGGGTTTAAGTTAGATTAGTAGTTGAGAACCCATATCTTTCTATATCTTTGTCTTGAAGAGAGAGAAGCTCTAGGAAAAAGAAAAAGAAGTTCATAGAGTGAGAAAGGTAGATTTACCAAGCTTGATTATTAGAGTTTGAACCATTGGATTGGTGTTTTGAGGTTAGATTCTTGATCTAATTTTGTTGCTCTTTATATTAATTTGATCACATTTCATAATCTAGCATGATTCATGAGCCATGCATTGACTTAAAGATTTGTTTTAGAGAGAGAAAGTGATGTTCTTGTGTTTTTAAAGAAAAGCTTTGTTTTGATCCAAAAGTTCGTATCAAGTTCTATGTTTTTGTGTTTGTTTTCTTGAAATCTTCAAGTATGGGTACCCAGGTCCACATTTTTGAACTCATATAATGAAATCTAAGATTTTGAATAAGAACTTATGATTTTAGCATTTATGTTCTTCATGTTCATGTTCTTCAAGAGAAAACCCAAATTCCCAAACTTCATTCCCCTAAGTGTGGTCACCGAGACCCAATCTTATCCAGACCTCACATCTAAGCTGACCATTGCACACATTTGCTAACACCTTGTAACATCCCGGGCGGGCAGCCCACATCTTGGCCAAGGAGACCACAACTCAGCCAAGAGGTGTCGAACGTCGGCTAAGACCTCCTAAGTTCACCCTCTGTACATCCATTTCGAGACCTAGTTTGTACCCAACATGCTTTTGCTTTGTTTCGACTTGGTTTTGGAAAGAAATGTCGGGATCTATTTCGCTCAATTTAAGCTTGTTTGAGAGTGCATTTCATAACCATCTTTGAGCATCTCTTCTTACCTTCTTGAAGTGCATTCAATGGAATTACTATGTACTTGTAGGTCTTAGATCTTTGCCTTAATCCCCTTGACTGAAGAGCTATTGTGAGTGGTATTTTTAATAAAGTTATATTATAATATTTTGATAAAAGCTTTTCTTTGTTTTGGAAAAGTATTTGATCAAGCATATATGATTATCCCTTAGTTTTTGTATCAAGTATTATGTTTGTTTTGATGACATTCTTGAATGGTCCTTATGTGTTAGGGGACTTTAATGCAACTATACCTTTATTTGAGATATTTTCTTTGTCGCCGATGGCTGGGCTTGTCTAATCGATTATGTGTCAGTTATTCCTTTGTTTTGTCAATGAATGTCATCCTTTGTATTATATAGATATTAGTAAACATCCCTTGAAGCTTTGAAAGCCTTTGATTGATGAACTCAGTTCATCCTTTGAATTTGTTACAAGCTATGATATGTGTTGTTTTGTTAGAATCTCATGCATCATTCATTCAAACCTTTATTACTTATATTATTTACTGAGTTTCAGCTCACCGTTCTCCCTTATATGTATATATAGGAGATGAACAAGAAAGCGATGTCCCCTAAGCTTTATTTGGAAGATGTTTTGGTTTACGTTTTGTAGCATCTTGAAGATTATGCTTCTTAGCTTTGTAGATTATTTGCCTTGTATGTTTAGGCTTGAGAAGCCTTTTGATCAAGATGTAATATTAAGTTTATTTTATTTTGTATTCAAGTTGTAAAACCATGTTAATATGTATATCATTTCATTTAATCTACGCACAGCTCTTATAGACTAATTAGATTTAAATTTATTACTTCCGCACATGTATACCCCATATGTATACTCTGTTTGTGTAAATCTTTGTAAGTTGGCCTTTGGTAATCTTGGATTAGTGGCCATCACGGCATCATTTTATTAGGGGCGGAATGGGGTCATGACATCCACCATCTCAAACCCAGTCGAAACGATGGTTTTTATAGAATCTAAAATACCATTGTCTAAATAATTGCTTTAGGCCATAAATGGAATGTTTGAGTTGGCATGCTTTACGTTCTTGTCCATTAACATTAAGGCCTTCTAGTTGATCCCTATAGATCTCCTCATCCAGTTCTCCATTGAGAAATACAATCATAACATCTATTTGGAAAAGTTCGAAATCCAAATATATGACAATAGATAGAATTTAGGCGAATAAGTGCCAATCTCACCACTGGAGAGAATGTTTATACCCTTTCTTTGGGTATAGTCCTTCGCCATGAGACAAACTTTTGACTCATCAGCCTTGCACTTAACTTTTAAGACCCACTTATTGCTAATGGTCTTGCGCTCAGATGTAAAGTCAACCAACTCCCAAACTTGGTCCCTAGCCATAGAACTCATTTCATCCTTCATAGCTGCCATCCACTTGGTAGCATTCGGTGAAACTAACGCTTCCTCATAGGAAGCAAGCTCATTAAGATCCAACGGAGCATACATGAAAATTTTCTTCTCAATCTCATAAGACAACGAGGAATGATTCCATGTTCACCTCTACATAAGTAGGCTTTATTGAGTCATTTTCTAGTGAAACACTCCCACTAGAAGGTAAATCACTCCCACTATCTTCGTCGATTTCAGGATGAGTCTCTAATTCTCCACCATAGCCAAAAGATGGTGTGACTTCCTCAGATTCCTAACTCTCAAATAGCGCAAGATCTTTCTTTACTTCACCAATACTAGAAAATTCATTCTCAATGAAATTGACATCTTGCGACTTACTTTCAGTCATTCCATTATTAAGATGTTCACTATACTTTACGTAACCCTTTAAGCATTCTGAGTATCTAATAAACACTTGTTTGTTTGCTCTATGGCCTAATTTCCCATGCTTATGAAAAGTACTGTGAACAAAACCTGCACAACTCCAAGGCCGTAAATGCTCCAAATCAGGTTTTGTGCCTTCCATAATTCATATGGAGTCG